TAAAGCTATATTTAAGGCGATAGGGATAGCCAATATCTTTTATTCCCTGAGAAGACCTGTTTATAAATCTGGCCATAGAAATTTCCTAACATTAAATATTTAATCGAAGATATGAATACGAAGATGGCGCGGCCTTTTGTATGGTTGCAGTCTCCTATCGATATATAGAAGTTGTTTTACTTTGTTTTCGCAACTTGGTCATGTTGGTAGGAAGACCTAGAGGAACGCACCTAGTTCAGAGTCCAAAGTACGCATGATTATTTCCAGAGTCGGACCGTGGACGTGGTACATTCCCAGGCGTTTCACCGGCATCGTCAGTGAGCCTTGCCATTCTTAGCACCACACAACAACTCGTCAAAAAAGATAAGTCAAGTCGATTTTTTGACCAATTGTCTGCTAAGCAGTTGTGTTATCTCGCCTTTGCCCTGGACTATTCACCAATCCTATATTATCGTATCGCCTCTTCACTATCACAATGTCTTAATTGCTTATTTAAATGTGGTATGGTGTGCCCTTTTGAGCGAATTTCATGAGAACTCTCCACACCCCACATTGGTTTTCTCACCCCCTTTCACCCTTGTGCTGGAAATGTTGATCAAAGTCTGCCATATTATTCCGCAATCCTCTTATTAGATTATCCCTCTTGCCCCGTACGATCTGCCTCCTAGCATCCTGGTTCAGGTATTTTACTCGACCCCTGCCACCTTATCTGTACCACTCGAATGGTTATTTCCCACGCTGTCTCAAGCCTTTGGTGGAACTTATACTACCGTCTTACTGAGTAGGCCCTTAAAAATCAGGATTCTCAAGCTGGATGGGAGGCTAACTTGAGACTATAGATTTCGTGTAATTCTCATGGTCAAGCCTTTGCTTCAAGGACCACATAAGGCCACATCATTCTGGTCTACATACATTCGATTGAACTGATATTTTTATTTAATGTCAGTTTTGAGTAGGTTTTCGAGTTGACTAGCAGCAGACCTATTTGGTTGGAGGGGATGAGGGACTCATATGAATACTCGTCACGTTTCTATTAAATTTCACACAAACTTGCTTCTCAAAAAGTATTATCAATTATGGCGCACTGTAGCTTCGGCTTTGCCTAGGTCAGCACCTCTAGCTGGACATAAACAGGACGCAGCATAGTCTCGACACCTTATCCCTTATGCCATACTGCTACGAGTTCCTCTTGATCACTGGGCAAAAGCGAATCTAGCGGAAGGCC